GAGAGAGAGAGAGAGAGAGAGAGAGAGAGAGAGAGAGAGAGAGACAGAGAGAGAGAGAGAGAGGAAAGCCTCTCATTATGAGATAGACGCCTAATATGAGATAACAGCGTTTCTGCTAAACTAATAAACACTATTGATTCCATCAAGAATTTATTGCTCTTGGATTGAAAATTATTCAGTGGAAAATTCATTATTAGATTATGCCTGTCGTTGTAAAAAAAGATTTTTGAATTTGGATAATTTCAAGTTTCTTTGAAATAAGCCTTTAACTTTTTATTATTTAATAAGTAAATATTTGGCAATAAATTCTTCATGTAATGGTAGAGTAAGTATTAATAGAAAATGAGATTAATTGAATTGCTTAATTACAGAAGTTAGATAATCGTGAAATCGTAAGGCGTGGAAATCGTAATATGAGATAGGTATCTTTAATATGAACCTATGCTCCTATAGTCATAGTGAAAATTATTGCTAAAGTATGCGTTATTATATAATAATAAAAAGGACAATCGGAATGAATATCGAATATACCGGTTTCTGTGATGCTTGGTTCCAACTAGTGAAGACGAATTCTGACGAATACAATGCATCACATGTTCATTTTGCGCGCACACTGGCTATATTTTTTCGTATTTTAAAAACATTAAATAAAGTTTTTTTAATTGCAATAATATTGTGTTAGCAAGGAAGTAATTACGTTTTTTTAGCTTAAAGTTGTATATTTTCGTCAATAATGAATGAAATTTAAATTTAAAAAAAATTTTTAAACTTGAAATCTCTATTTTTAAAAGCTTATCATATTTTTTAAATTTATATTTGATAACTTTAATATTATATTTGATAACTAACTACATATCAAAAACTACGAGCTGAAAAAGTCGAAAAATTTTCTTCTCATTTTGTGGGTTTGTAACATGCTCAAAACAAATTTGAGAAAATTTTCAACTACCTATTCATGAAAGCTTGATTCTTTCATATAAAATCTTTTTTTTTTTAAATTTCGTACGAGTTTTGTTGGTTACTGAGTTACTATCGTAACTCAATAAATAAAATAAAAGGATCATTTTGACTTTAATTGCTCATAACTCCGTTAAAAATTGTCGTATCATAATTTAAAAAAGAGATTTTTAAAGTTGAAACTTTACTCTATCAAGATATATTTATATTGGTTGGTAAGAAAATAATTGCAATTTTTATTGATAGATGCCTTTTCAAAAAACGCAATTACTTTCTTGCCAATACATAATAATAATAATAATTTATAATTGAATAATTATAATAATTTAATTAATTGATGTACTTTGCATTTTATCGATTTCTCGGGGCATCTCATATTAGGAGTACAATTTTTCGACTTTGCGATTTTGCTCACTTTTTACATTTCTTTAATTAAAAAAAAAAGAATTTGAATTAAATGTTACATAACATTATCTTATTAAATTCCCTTAAAAATGACTTCTTATTTTTTAAAATTCTGCCCATAGACTTCTAGCATTTATCCAAAATCAGGGTTGACAATATTACCAATAAAAATAATTCGTTCCTGTTACTCGTTATTCATTTGCAAAAGTAATTCGTTATCGTTATTGTTATTCAAAATATAATAAGTCGTTATTTTTTCGTTACTTTTTTTCTTGACACTAATAAAATATTATATGCAGATTTTTGCGGTAAATGTAAAAAAGATAAAATTTTATTTTTTAATAGAAAATAGAGCTCAAAAAATATATGCCTATAATAAACATTGTGCGTTATTTTCATGAATGAAATAGATATAGTTATATATATATAAAAAAATTTTTATACTTAAATAAATTTATTTTTCGTATTAATTTTAATAAGATTATCTTTAAGTTATATGTTTAACTCTTACAATTATTTATTACTGTGCATGATGGATTTTGTGTGTGGTTAATTTCCATTTTTCCAATTATAAAAAAATCATGAATAGATTCTTATATATATTTTAACATCTTTAAAAAACATTTATGAAATTGTACATATAAAAAGAAGGAAAAGATAGAAAGAATTATTTAGCAGTATTTCGAAGAAAAGAAATAAGAAACGAATAAGACCTTATCGTGAATATTCTAAGGATAAAATGATATTATAATAAAAAAAGTAGTATTGTTTGTAATCTGCATTATAAATATATATTTAATTTATAAGATATGACACAGAAAAAATTTTATTTTAAGAAATTAAATATATTGTAAAGATTATATATATATGTAAGATCTGAGTCTATACGTATAAACTGTGAATACAGTGAAAGAAAAGGTGATCGCGTGATTTAGACAGCCAATCAGACTATTAATGTTTTATCTCTGTTTTCTAGGATTATAATTATACATGATTATAATTACTAAACTTTTTAACATATACTAAACTTTTACGTAGTTAGAAATAAAGTAACAATAAAAGTAACTAATAAAATCGTTACCGTTAAACCCCAAAAATGTAATTGTGTTACCATGAACATTACTCAGAAGAAAATGTAACGTCGTTATCTATTTGTTATTGAAAAAAGTAATTTGTATTAGTAACAATGTATTAGTAACAATGTTACAAATAATGCGTTATTTACTGGCCCTGCCCAAAATCAACTCGATGTCTCATAATAGGGGGCCTTTCTCTCTCTCTCTCTCTCTCTCTCTCTCTCTCTCTCTCTCTCTCTCTCTCTCTCTCTATTTATACATATATATAAAATATATATTCATATGTGTATATTATATTCTTTGTTGTACAGAAGTACCATTGGTCGATTGGGTGAAGGATGTGGATGTACGTGTACAATATGGATTAAATTTTGGTAAAAGTCGTGGTTTTATCAAAATTGGTGATTCCGTAATAGTTGTGACAGGATGGCGACAAGGCTCGGGCTTTACGAATACACTTCGTGTGGTGTATGTAGAACGTGAATTTATTAGAGAAGATCCTGCATGTACAATTTATAGCGATACCGATTCCTATGAAAATCTCTTGAATGTTGCATGATGTTTTTTTATTCTTACATATATCTTGATTTGTTTTAAGACTCCTGAATAGTCTCTACTATATATATTTGATTGTGACATCATAAGAGAAATGATATGTTTGAAGTTTCTAGCACTCTATTTGTAAGTAAGTCTAGATCTATAATAGGTTTTAAGCCTTAAGAAATTTACTAAATAATTACAGTCAAATGCGAGGAGAATAATTGATTATGATTCGTCCATTTCTTATGATTCAAGGCTCAAAAACCTGTTGTAGATTTGGACTAAAGAGAGTTTGAATAAAATAAAATAATGAGATCTTTAAAATTCGCTTTAAAAATTATGTAAAAATAGAAGAAAGCTATCTTTCTTTTCTGATAATTAGTACATATTGTCATAAATAGCACAAGAAGTGCGTTTAATGCACGTGTAACCTATTTTCATTTTATGTTTCACTTTATATCATTTATGACTATTTACTGATCAAAGACAGGTAAGGATAGTTTCTTTTCATTTTTATAAATGTTTTAAACTTTAAAATTTAAAGCTTAAATTGTTTAAATTTAAAATTTTGATTGCTGATAATTGTTATTTCTTACTATATATCATCCAATATGGTTACAGCAACTACTCAGGAGTTTTAAAAATAATTATATTTATAATTATATTTATGAAATATTATTATTGTTGATTTGCAAATTTATTTTAAGTCAAAATAAATAACTTAAAATATTAATAAATTATTGCAATATGTTTTGTACATTACAATATGCTTTTGTATATAATAGAAAAATACATTTTGTATATAGTAGGTATATTGATACATAATAATATATTTGCTTTAAGTACTTTTTATTTTTATAAGTACCAAGATAATTTTAATATCGTTTGTGTTTCAGCATATTGCATTTTTAAGTATATAATTTTTAAAATTAATTCAAGTATAGTTATCTCCATTTAGTATATTATTGTTACTGTAGTCATGTTTTTAGCACAATAATACATTTGATTATTTATTAATTAATGTTTTATTTTTAGGACTGTTGATTAAACTACACATTATACTGGAAAGTTCTAAGAAGTATAGTCTTCGTGGATGTAGATGTAATACAAAAATTTATTGAGTAATACTTGAACATGTATGTAATTGTATATGATTCCTTTACAAATTCTATTAAATGCAGTTATATGACAATAATCTTAATAGTAAAATATTTTATTGTTGGAATATATAAATTCAATGTAGAAATAAAAGTTTGATGGTTCGGAGAGAAAAAAAGGTAATTTTATCATAAATTTTTTAAAAGTGATCTTTTTAAGATCTTTAAGATTAATTTGATTTTTTTTTATAGGAATAGATAGTTTTTATTTAAACATTCGAAAAGAATATTTTATATAAAAATTATGTAAAATATATGATTTAAATTGCATGATTTAGGAAATATTTAACAAATATTATTCTCAGAAAATATTATTAATATTGTGTTGTTTGGGCTTCAAATAAAGATATATTATATAGATTATATAAAGATAGAAAATAAAGATTATATAAAGATAAATTGAAGATATTGGTCTTTATTGCCAAATACTAAGCGTGTTCGTAGTCGCCATTAGAGCGAGAATAGTCTCGCTCGCGATGGAAGAAGATAGACAACTTGAGCGATGCATAGTTGAATCAAAATTTAGGACTAAATGATTGGCTAGCTGCTTGCTCTGAATTGTTGCTGTTCGGATTGTTTCATCTTCTTCCACTATCGTCAGATAGAGTCTTAGATTATATAAGAGAAACCGATTTGTATCAGTATCGCAAAAATACTACGAGAATTTTAAATATGGTTGACATGATATGAAAAGTATCTTTAATAAGGCTGTTACGTCTAGATTCCATATTTTTTTTCTTCGATTAAAATTTTCATCACCATAAAAATTATTAACAAGTAATATCGATAGACCATCTGTTTCTACCATAGGAAGTTGCAATAGTGACGAATCGACTAACATTCACCGTTTTAGACTAATAATTCACTAGAGTCGAAGTTGTTGGATTAAATATTTGAAATGCCGAATAGACGAACTTTAATCCGAGGAACAGAAGAAGTAAATAGATTAAGAATTACAAATTGAAGCAGTAGCTGTCTGTAATAAATGACACATGTGGCTCTAAACTATTGAGCATCCGGCAAATGGTCGATGGAAGTTGTTTTAGATACATATCACAATATCCCATTTCACAACCGATATCCTTAATTCTAGATTAGACCAATAACATATGCGAGGCACGACATTACTAATTCGCAAATCTAAAAAGGAGGCTCTTCGTAAATAGTTAGAGAATCAAACTCCATTTCCGATACGAAACTCTGCCAGTTCGCAACTATACAAGTTATTTAGTCAGCCGACTCTGTCGGTCCACAACCAGATTGCTCGATGAGATTTTAATGGTGAGTATCAGTTCGATCAAGCGATCTTATTTACTTATTACTGTCAAGTGACTCAAAGCCTCCAAATCGCTGGGTCAATTCTCCCTTTGGAGTCCTGCAATCACAGAGATCGGACCTCCGACAGTTACCCTCGAAAACTTGCAGAGTAACAGTAAGTCCCTTCTTTTAATTATTTATTTCGGGAATCTAACTAGATCACTCTCTAAAAAAAATCTTGACCAATCCTCTTTTCAGCCTCTGCATTCTTAATTTTTTGCTTCCACAGCCTATCCTCCCATCGATTTCTTCGATGAATTCTGTATCCTTTACTTAGAAGTCCGCCTAATCTGCGAATTTCACTTTCTCATTATCTGTCTTTCTTTTTTTCTACGCAGAGCCTGACAATAAAACATTTTTGTATTTAAAAATCATAGGGAATGATCGGCCATGTACACGGCCTTTCCTGCGCGGCTAGACGCCTACGAACTCAACGCCTTAAGGAGGCTCATCGGCTTCTAGATGAGCCTATCAAGCATATCTCAATAGCATAAATAGTAATAATAATAATGATAGCAATAACATTAACGCTAATGGTTTAGATAATGATAGTAGAACGGTAGTAGAACGATAGTATTAATAATATAATATATATAATAATTGAGCTAGTAATAACAATAATAATAACAACAATGGTATTCATCTAGTAGGAAGCCTCCTCCTCGGTCTTCTTCTCCTGTCGAATCAATCTCATCACATAAAGAATATTTCCTGACACTCCCCCTTCTTCTCGTCTCGCTTTTTCCGCTGATTCAACATCAAGCGTGGAATTCTTAGATGAAGTTCCCTTCTCCGTTCTCATTATTACTTTCTCACCACGGTAATTCCAAATCATTATCTTCTCTCTTTTCTCAGTTTCAAATTTCTGTCGAACCTCTTCCTCCAAACACTTTTACCATAGATCTTCAAACCGCAGATCCCGAGCGCGACGGAAGTGCAATAACCGGACAACCACCAAAGGCCCTTTTCCTTCCCTACTCCCCTCATTCTTTCTCATCCCAAAAAAAAGTAACCCAGTAGCCTTTTTTTTTAAATTTCTGTCTCCTTTCTTCACGTACAATTAAATAAAAATAATGAAATTAAATAGATACAATTTAGTTGTAAACACACACACACACACACACACACACACACACGCACACACACGCACGCACGCACGCACGCACGCACGCAAGCATGCATGCACGCACGCATGCATGCACGCACGCATACTTACCTACATCGCAACATTCGTTCAGTTAATTATTAAGTACCGAATAACTCTTGTAACTTAAAAATATAAGATCCTAGTATAATATAAAATTAAACAATTTGTTAACAAGCTAATTGAATTTTTTTTTGTATAATAAATATAAATATACATATGTCTCTATATACGTGCGTGCGTGCGTGCGTATTTTGTTAAAATTATTTACTCGTAATATCTTTTATTATTCCCTCGTACAAATGTCCTGCATATGTTAGCATAGGTTCGCACACGGTCCTGTCTCGGGTTTAAAGAGATTAAAGTTCTTTGCTCCAAAATAGGACCCACGATCGCACTTGAAACCTGAGTCATAGCGTCTTCTCGAGACGTTGACTTACGTTTTGGAATCATCTAGATGCGTTCGACTCGCTCCATCCCCTTCCATATAGATGCGTAAGACAAAGCGTCTAATATCCTTCCATACTCCATCCTTCCTATTCCCTCTTTTCCTAAACCTAAACCTAAATCTATTTCCGAAGTTTGGACATAACAAGGCTATACAGTATATTATATAAAATAAGATGAAATATATATATAAAATTAAATGTGAGCAACTAATTTAACGTAAAATTATCGAAAGAGTGACCTATGCTCTCTCGTATCTGGCGTCCAACTTGTTTAGTGGAAAGCTCTGATAATTGTGAAAATCTATCTGACGGTCGAGATCTTACACTTATACAAAAATTCCTTTAAGTAAGAAAAAGTCACAGACCACGCAACGAAGTTGTAGCTCGCAAGCACGATTACAATACATACACACATATATATACATATATATATAT